TAAGTAATGAGGTAGCAAGGCCAAGGTTTCCTAGGTGTCCTATATGGTCAATGCGATGCATACAAAGTGAGCAACATGTTTCACCTTTGAAATGTCTACACTTTTTGCTGCCACAGCCATGGCCACTACAGTGGGGCTTTTCCCCGAGCAGAACTGGTGAAGCGCTTCCTCTCTATCTCTTTATGATTGGCCTCCATGAGTACTGGTACAAGCAAACCTTTCATGGTATAAGAACTCCTGCAGAGAATCGGCACCCTTGTTGGCTTCCACAATCACTAAAGTCAGTGAATCCTTCCCTGCTGCACATAAGAGATCAAGCAGAAGTGACTGTTTATGTAACTCTTTCACCCAAACTACTTTCTGTGTGGTATTCTCAGAAATAAAGCCTTCCCTACCTACAGTCAGAAAGATACATTTATTCATCAATGTCATGAGCGAGCATCCATCTCTTCTTAGGAAAGGCAGCACTAAACATCATAATACAACGCATACCCTTTTGTGGCATAGTATCTTGTTCAGCCACACGCTGTGCCTGAGGTTCAAATCCTATATCCAGTGTCCTATATCTGGAGAAGTCTAATCCAGTCTTTCCTCTTTCCATGATATCCACCAAACATCCTGGAGTGGTGACAAGTAAGTGGCGTCCACACTCTAAGTCTCAAATCTGCTGGCCAATATCAGCACCACCATAAACTACACACACACAAAAAAAACCCTCTAGACCAGTATGAACGTTTTCTGGCGTCCTCATAGGTCTGCACTGCCAATGCTCTTGTTGGGGCTAACACCAAGGAGACTGGGTACTGTTTGCTGTGCTCATACCTTCTATTTTTCTTTGCAACCTTTAAAGCCTCTCCTGGGCCATTTGTATATATCTGTCTCAGGATTGGGTGAAGGAATGCTGCAGATTTTCAGGCCCTGTTTGAGCACAGGCCAGTAAGTCTCTTTTTTCTTTAATAATTGGAGTTGCATTATTTTGCACTGGAGTAGGACGAGTATAACAAATACATTCATTGTTCTCCATGGTAAGCTCACCCATCTCAGCATCTCTGAAATTTTCAATATGTGGAGCGCAGTTATTGCCAGTTGCCTCTACTGGCATATCATTGTACTCCTCAAAGTTAATCCCAGTATTTCCTCTAGCGAAAAGCTCCTGTTCTGAGCATTCACTTGGTGGAAGTGGATTTGGCCAGTCCTCTTCATCTGATCTGTCACACCAATCATTATGTCTGCTACATTCAAATTTGCCAAAGCCGGCACTGTCGCGACTGCCAATACTATCCATGATCATCAGATCTTCCCCGGGATCCACTTCCGCCATCACTGAAGTAACTACACTCTCCTCTTGAATCCCGAGACCCCACACTGCTACGTGCATCCTCATCCGTACTGCAACTCCGTCCTGAACTTTCCTTATAGCACAGCCCTTTGGGTGCTTCTCTGCTCTTTAAATGTGGAGGTGTGTAACATCCATCGCTAGCCAGACTTGCTCCTCCACTCCCATTATCAAAAGAGTTCAGGTCTAGACCAGCAAACGCTGCTTGCTGGCACCAAGCATATTACCCATGGCCACATAACTCATCCACACTCTGGCTTCAGGGCAGCTTCACCAGATTATGAATCAGTGAACTAAAACCCTGAAGCTGAGATGATTTAGTTCCACCTAACCAACGGTGTCTGGCGTAGAGTCCATTTTGGAGAACAGAATACATCTTCGAATTTTCAGTTGGGAGGCAAAATGAGGAAGGTGGGCAGAAAGCCAGCTTTTAGATTAATGTGTTGGTAGTTCTTCTAGAGCTTAGAAAAGTAAATTTTAACTTGACTCTTTATCATTTTTTTTTTTTTTTTTTTTTTTTTTTTTTTTTTAGTGAAATTACTTGATTTTATTTTACACTAGGTGGTAGGCACAAAGCAATCCTCCTTAATAAAGTTGACAATTGGCTTCACTAAGAACATTTTTAATAATGCATATTAAGAAAAGTATGCATCTTACAAATTTTTATGCCATCCAAATATATAGCAGTTTGGAAAACAACATTTAGAAAACAAGAACCAATGTAAAAAGACAGAGTAAAACAACTACAACAGTACAGTTTTTATGGCTCAAATTCTACAGTTTTCTTGTTTCTCTCTAGTTTTCTTACTGCATCATCAGTGTCAGAAATCTGTTCCTTCAGCTGGCTCCAGGGCTCTGGATTTAAAGAAATAGCTTTTCTTCTTAGTTTCCTACTTTTCTGTCTCTCTATGTGGACTTTATAAGGAAAGTAACTTTAAGGTGACCAATCTGCTTTTTTATTTTAGTTTATGCCTTTTTAAACCTTTGTCTATAAAATCAACCTCTTTTGCTTTGATATTGGGACACTTATTCTATTTTATGGAATGAAGCATGGTTTGGTTCCAAAACCAAGAAAAAATCCAAACAGAATCTTTAGATTATTGATTAATTTCTGTTCACAATTAAAAAAAAAACAAAACACCGAGGCAAGATGACACACACCTGTGATCTCACAGGGATCACTGCAAATTCAAGGCCGGCCTGGACTACATAGGGAGACCCATCTCAAAAGAAAGAAAGAAAGAAAAAAAAGAAAGAAAGACTTTTCACTAAATTGCTATTTTTAAAAAAAAATATCATTAAGGTAGAATAATAGTAAAAAGTTACTCTTCACGTGGGATGAAACTTTGGCCCTTTAAACATTCATTTATGAATAAATACATTAATAACATTAATTAAACAAGCATTTCTTTGGGATCTTTGGGGGTTCTGAAACCGATTTGAGAACTGCTGATTTCAAGGCCTAGGAGGAGGGTGTGGCAGGAGGTTCCCTGCAAGTTTGAAGCCAGCCTGGAGACCAAGTGAGTTCAAAGCCAGACTGAACTGCATGGTGAGACCTTGTGTCAAAAGACCGAAGGGGGGGAAAAAAAAAAGAAAGAAAGAAAGAAAGAAAGAAAGAAAGAAAGAAAGAAAGAAAGAAAGAAAGAAAAAAGAA